GAGGAAATTAGAGAATTCTTTTAGTGATTTCACCCAAAAATATAGCCCACTCATAACAAGTCAAGTCGTCCTTAAAGTAAAGAAGTTAGTAACCACCGACAAATTATGCCCGAAAAGTGTCGTATAAAAAGTGTCATTGATTTTTTGGCGTAAGTGATGACTCGTCTACATTCAACTAGAGATATGTGTAGTTCTATGATAACTTCCATATAAAAGTTTTCAAAAACCATTAATTGTGTTTAATTGCTAAAACAGAATGAACGAGGCCAACATAAATAGGAACAATAAGCAAATTATAATGATATACCTAGGTCATATTGTCGAATATTTAAACCTGTTTAGCATGTATGTTAATAAACATTCGCCTTTACACTAAACGTTTTCGATACCTGTTTCTGAATCAGAGTTGTGTCTCATATTTCAGACCGCTTTCAGCACCTGCACCGGAATTTACATGGCATGTCAGTAAAAACACTCTAAACTGGCAATATGATTTCATCTACTTAGTGGTAGAACGGCCTGCTCGATAAAAGACACTGAAGCTCCGTAAATTTCTTCTCGATACGGTGTTAACTTAATGAATTCTCTGAACACTCCAATGTCGCCCGCATCACTGGATCTGCAAGTGTCGGTCATTCTTGCGCGCAGTTATTTTAAATTAAATGTAGCATAAAGTCGCGCGCCAAAAACCCAACCTAGGGTTTTCGACATCATTTGCGTGAATGCTTAAGTAGGCAGCCTTTGAATTTTAAATGTTTTATCCCGGCTGAAAGTAGGTTAGCCGTAGACAACTTCACACTGCCATGTGCGTGATGTCAAACATGCTCCGTTAGAAAAAAGTACACAGCACCAGCAGAACACTTGCTGGCTGCTTCTTCAGCTTCTTGCCAGCTGCGTTGAATAACACATAAGCAGAAGGCATTGGAAAAAGCTGCATGTCCATAGTCTGCACCCCCGCGACGTGAGCTTAGAAAAGAACGATCAAAGGAGTGCGATCGAATGCATAGCTGGTCCGATGGGCTGCCATTAAGCAAACACGCTGTGCAACGCGACTACAAATGCATATTTCTCAATCCTATGCCCAGACTGCTAGTGATCAATGCTTATCAGATAAGTGCGAATTTACGCACGAGGCGGGATTTTATGGGCCTGTGCTCCATGTAGACCATGAGTATATTTCTAATCTCCACCCCTTACAGAAATGTCACACGCGCTTTTTAATTTCAGTCGGCATAGCGCACAAGAAGGACCTCTACAATCATCTACTTAATCGCGAACGATACAACAAAATGATTCGGCCGGCGACCAATGACAGTCAAGCCACCATCGTATATTTGGGCTTGCGGCTTGACCAAGTGGTTGATGTTGTAAGTAAGCATTTTTCAGGGCTTCGAAAGGGACTAAATTATGTTATTTTTTGTCGCTAACTATAGTAGGACGAGTCGAAAGAAGTTGACTGGCTGTTTCTGACATCCATTATAATACTTAGGGCGTTCGCGGAGGTTTTGTTTAGTGGTCCTTCAGAAGCACCAAGTGAATAGGACCTATAATTTTACTGATTAATTTGCTCAAAACAACCTCTCATTTTTTCAGTAGCGGGAGAAATCCGTTGCACTGTATCTAAGATCTTTCAGGCCGCGTCTTAGAATTTCAAAGTGAATCAACAAGTTTGTCTTCTCCACGCTGGCACTGAAACTGATCATTATTTCACCCAAAAATGAGGCTCTTTAAACGTATAGTCCTTCGGTGGGTTGCTGGTTTACGACTGTGAGTCACTCCCTTTGCAAATGACGCTTTCAAGTACACGCGGGGTGCTGTGTCATCATCTAATCTGTTTGGTTGCCCCATATTCGTCACTATAGAGCCGTCGGCTCCACAGAGAGAAAGCCGTTACTAATCCAGGAGATCTGGAGGACTCCTAGGACAACTTTTAAGCTACTGACTGAGGTGAGGTTTATTTGGATATTGGGGCACGCGTATTAACTTCAGGTTGTTTTTTTCGTCCGAAAGTGGATAAGGTCAATCTTTCTGAAACTATATTTGTGTCACTCCAAACCTTTTTTTACTAAGAACCTTGACGCGCACTTTAATTACTGCAATGTGCTAAACGTCCGACTTTGAGAGGGTAAAGATCGATGGAATAACTCGATCCATCTAATCAGTAAGGATCAGATTACAGGAGTCCCTGTTTACTCTGATGACTATGACAACTACTTTCAATGTCAGACCAGAGATTGTTTCGTTTGAAGTCTGACTAGTGTTCTTCCAGGGACCAACATGTGTAAGCACACAAAGCCGACTTTTTCCTGTTATATCGACCAGTGCTCTCATAAGAATTGCAATTGTCCTGGCTTTTTAATGCCACTGAAGTCTGATGGGCGTGGAAAAGGATGTTGAATTGTACGCCGCGCAAGTTTTGCTCACCATCCACAAAACGCAACTGTGACCTCAGGATGGTGGTGATCCTCGTTAATTGGGCTTGAACTACGGACTTCCGTGAGAGATTGGTAGTTGATGTCACATTTGTGCCAGGCGAGGACGTCTAAGGAGGAAAGTTTGGGTCCTATATGCTGCACGAATAACAACAAAGTCCCAGCACTCTGTCCAGGCTCGCTACGGAGCCCAGCTGATCACGAGTTCAGATTTGCAGGAAGTGGCCTGTCGTCCAGACGGACATATGCACATGTCACTTGCCCTGAATAATCCTACCGTAAAAAACGGCACCAATTCGTACGAATCAACCATTCTGACCTGCAAACTAACATTGCTCTTAACAACTGTCTGAAGATGGCACCACTACCAGAATATTAGTTCAATATATGACGGGATTAGTAATATATTTGAGTTCTGTAATCAATGTGACACAAGCACTGGCATGTTTGTAATATAAGTCCGTGCCATAATGGGTTCTTTAAATTTGGCATTTCGCCAGACAGGTATTCAGTGCCAGTACAGTTACTTCGACTCGTCCTCAAAAACAAGGTTAGATTGAACTATGTGGTGAATGTTTTCAAGCAAACCCTGAACAGACAGATCTTGCTTCTCATTACTCTATTTTACATGGCTGGAGAAAATTCTGTTAGATCGCTTAGCACCAAAGAACAGATATCCACGTTTTGAGTGGGAGTTGGCTAAGCTTGCATACAGTTAAACCGCTTGCTCTCTCGTAGAAAAAGACGAGTCCTTGTGCCGTTAGTTGTCTTCCAACGCTAAGTGGGGGATTTTTTGTTTGTCAGCGTTTTGGACCAGAGTATTGCCTCCGGGAACTGAGTTTACCCTCTTTATCGGCAGGATGAACGGAAGGAAGTGATCACCACAAAGGTCTGGGTCGAACAGGAGTGGACTGACAGCAAATTTACGTGGAATCCCGCTGACTATGGAGGCGTGCGCATGCTTCATGTTCCCGCAGAGGAGATTTGGAAACCGGATATCGTACTTTACAACAAGTATGTGCATCGCCCATGAGAATGACTGCCTTTGAATGGACGCTGAGATGAATTGTGCCGTGCAGATGTGTGCCAACTTAGGCATTATTCATTAGCACTGTTGCTGGGCGTAGTTTTCTTTGACTACCCTCTACCGCCTCATTCGTTGTCAGTCTAAGTTTGTATCGTCTTTGCTTAGTTGTTAAAATGAGTCTGTTGTGAAATGCACAGGCCAAATATAGTCAAATGTCACACTTGAGTGCTAATCATTGAACCAGCATAATCAGCGGACTGATGGTCCTCTTACCTGTTATGCTTCAGCCTTGGTCCGTAGCGTTCATAGGCGGTAGCATACTAGTAAACAAACGGTAATATACGAATAGGAAAGACACTAGAGCACCTGACCCCATATGCAAATGAACCTTTAGTTAAACTTCTTGACTTCCCGCTCATGGTCTGGTTGAATGGCAACGCAAATATACTGGAAAGGGTTACTTAACTCCGTCTAGCCTCCGTTTGTTGCTCATTTAAACTGTTGAATGTCTGTATGTGCGACCGATTCAAGCGGGCCAAGATCGGAGTTTCGGAGCGGAACCGCAGGGCCGTACTCCGCCTATCAATCACGCATAACTGACCGACACAAACGCATATGATTTTCCTAGTATTTCGGAGAACATCTGGCAGAGAGAGCCCGTGATTCAACTGATGCGCGTCGAAATAATTCTTCAAATTAACCAAGATTCAAAGTCCACATCAAATGGACGCGGAATTTGAGCATGACTGAGTGTAGACAGCAGATAAATTAGAGCAGACAATTCTAATTTCCGAAGTTTAAGTTGACAATATTGTTAAACAATGAAAGGAGTAATATAACGACAGTATTTTACCGGTAGACAGGAGGCAAATAGCGTTGGAAGAAGTCCTTTTTGGTCCTGTTCGTTTCACAGAAAGCAGTAATTTAATTTCCACTGGGAAGGAGAGCAGATTCTAGCCTAATTGGGAAGCTCCGAAGTTACCTTGAGGTCAATGCCTTACCACTATCAATTTCATGTTAGTTATAAAATTGATTTCATTTGAGAATTCCTTTATCCAAACGAAAAACAAAAAATCAGGCATTAGTTCCCTTAATAAGTTGCAAATTATGAACTTTCTTAAGCTCTGGCATTTGTGCCCTGGAGGTGTAATTAAGGACAGCGTAGTTAATTCTGAAGAGCACTTAGCGGGCATACGCGTGCTTTCGATAAATTCTTATCGGACCATTAAGTTTATATGGGAACGAGGTATAAGGTGAAGCATGTGGGCGATAATTACTCCCTCTTCTCATTAAAACCATACAGCTTTGTTTATGCTTTGCTTAAGTTTATTTAAAACATGCCACGTCATTTACATCTCCACTGTGCCTATTCTGTCAACAAGAGAACATTTTTTTTATTTATTACTTCTATTCGGCGAAGCTGTTTCTTAAATGTAATGGTCATTGTCATCATATGTTTTTAAACCGTTAGTGCTGACGGGAAGTATGAGATAACAACACTGACAAAGGCTCAGGTCTTCTACAACGGCTTAGTCCGTTGGATGCCGCCAGCGCTCTATCTGACCTCCTGCAGAATCAACGTCGAATTCTTTCCGTATGACGAGCAAGAATGCTCTATGCGGTTTGGCTCCTGGACATACGACGGCAGCAAAGGTATGTCTATACTGCCTTCAAGCAACCAATCGGCTCGTAAAATAGAGGCGTATGTACTTTACGCATTCAATTTCGGCAAGCTTTTGAACCCAATGTCAAAACTTGGAGGACGCAATCTACCCTACTAAATGTCTTTTGCTGATTTAATTTATCTTGATACGGGATCTGATACATATCAACATGGGTAAGATGTGGCTATGCAGCCGCACCTCAAGGGCGCAATACTGTCAGGGGTCAGGGTTAGGCATAAGGGTTAGGGGGTGGAGTTTAAGGGTTAGGGTAAGCGTTTATGGTTAGAGATTAGGGCAACTATTTCTCAATCACTCAAATAACAACCGCGCGTTCTCAATGGCTTTTCTTCTGCATTCAGTTACTTGACTTCGTCGCCTGTGCGTTCCCCGGCCCAACCTGTAAAAACCCCTATTTCCAGCGATTCCGCTTTACAGGTGGCTGGAGGTTGTTTACCTCAGGTACGGCTGCATAATTACACCTGTCCATCACATATATGCCTCGATCCATAAGTTTCACCTATGATGAAATAGCACATGCTTATTCTGATATTAGTTTGCAAGCTAAATCCAGTGGCGGTGGTCTTTTCTCAGACATATACCATAGTTTTCCCTTGTCTCTACAAGTAACGTCCGCCCATTACATGCAGTCATGCACTTGACATTTTTCTTACTTTTGTAAGTATTGTCATAATCTACCATCCCAGGTTTACGTCTGTCTTGCATTTTGTGATTTACTTGCAAAACATGGCTAGAAACACTGCTCGGGCCCTCTGGGTGGACAGAATTGAGTTACTTTTCTGTTTCAAAGCTACCTCAGATTTGTGCACAAAATAGACAAGCTGAGCTATATCCAAGAAAGTAATAGTCCCGCAGTATTTCGTGTTATTATTTAAAAGTCAGTACATTTTCCGTCATTCCTTGTAGTCACGAGAACATAGGGAAACATTTGGCTACTTACTCAGGATACAATCTAACCGATCAAACAGCGGAGATCTCAGTTTTGCATGGTTCATAGTTGGTGAAGTATTACTGTTTAGCATCCTTAGGAATGTGCCGAAGACGAGAAGGCGGCCTTTATCATATATGACCGTCAAAATAGCGTAGACCACCCATAGTGTACCGCACAATATGCTGGCACTAGTCTTGTAAGTAGGTATTTTACAGTCCATATTAGTGATGACAGGTAAATGAAACAGGATGAAACAAGTCTGCTTCGTAATGACTCACTGAAGCCCTTCTCTTCAAATCAGAGTCGTCCTTTCTTTAGGAAGACGTGACAGTCCGTTTAGGGTGATGAATGGCATAACGATGGTGCTGTTGATTTTGTTTTTGATGATAATGACAACGCGACCGCTAATGCGAATGGCTGCTTGAACGGTATTTCCTACTTGATGGCTTATGGAGATAGTCAAGTACATGCATTTGTCCCTTTCCGCAGTAGCATATTAGGGTTAGAACCGGCAGATCTTCTGACTTGGCTGTAAACTGCCCCCATAATCTCCTGTTTCCTGCCAACTTCGTGGCGACAGCCCCACAAACACCGCCTGGAGTCTGAAAGGACAATAACCAGGGCGATGTTAGTGAAAAGAAGAGCTGGGTAGATTGCTGGAAGTACGAACACGTGCAGTTTTTTTGCTTTTAGGCAAGAAATATGGATGACAGGAGGGTGGAGCATTTACAGCACATGAGCTACTTTCAATAACGTCTGCACGAACGAACAACAAAAAAGCATCAGGGCTGCCATTTCCGCTTGCCCTTGTCTTCGTCAGACACATAGATCCATTAGCAAAAATTGAGAGGCCTAATGAGCAGTATTGTGTACCTACCAGTGAAAGTAGTTTCAAGATGCTTTTCGCGTAAAGTAGTCCTAATGGGATTTCAGACAGTGGACCGTTTGAGTATCCCAACTTCTGAACGAAACGCTTCTCCAGAGGCAGAATATGCTTCGGAGTTTCATTCTCGATCACCATGGTGCAGCTGCTTCGAATGCATTTAGCTATATTTATCTGTAAGCTATCTTGCGTCCACTTCGTAAAGAACACGTTTACCAGTGAACAAGGACGGCTAACAAAGTCGTAGGTGTTCATGTTACCCATCTCTGCCTACTTTACCGTTAGCGGCCAGTTTAAATCAATCCCAGGTCATGTGACCTGACATATGAATCCTCGGAAAATTAGTCGTCGGATATTTTCAGTCGGACGCCTTAGAATTCGAGCCGCCGACTAATACCCTTTCGGCTGCTGATATTTCGAAGAATTGCCGTTTGGCGTTAGGAAACTGCTCACCCGAAAATAAATTGACCACGCACCTTTTCCTAGTAAGTTCGTGCTTTGTAAGCAGATTTACGCAAACTAAGTCAGGTACAGTTGACAGATAAGGCGGGCGAGATTACGATGGATGATTTCATTCAATTTTTGGTACGACGTCTCATTACTTGCTATTTTCGATACGGAAACTATCCTCCCAACGGCGGCAGCTAACTCCTAACTGGCAGACAATTTGTCTTGCTTGTCGCACTTGGAGCAGATCTTTTAATGACACTGAGAAGTCTACGGCCTATCAACGACTGTGACTATGCAGTCAGGGCCATTCCTTTGCGTCTATCGAACTAAGATCAGCAGGTGATCATGACCCGGATTTTTCGGGTGAGGGTTTTGGTTGATCCTTGTAACTTTTAAAAAATCTTAACGGTAACCATGCTTTTACAACATTTTCGTCATCAGTCCAATTTCCGGCAAAGCCAAATTTTACTAGGCTCGCAGCCGAGTCAGTCTAAAGCCAAGTTCCCAATAATTAAGCTAATATGAACAAAAATATGGGGTTTTACAATCTGAATAAGCGGACAAAGCCTACAACTGTTGATTACTCACCTCTTTTGGTCGAAAATTGCATCACTCGTCTCAAAATATTTTGGTCGAAAATGAAAACTGAATCCTTTTCGTGGCTCCTGTAGCAAAGTTCATCTTAATCAGTCCAAACTGGATGCTTGAAGAAAGTCCTTTACAACTAGTACAGCCATTACCTTGAAAATGTCAGTCATTGAATTCTTTAGTGCGTTACTCATTCCGCATACACAAACTAACTCAATCTTCAATTAGTTGAACTTCGTCATCATCTGCAAAAGTACGTGCCGGAAATGACGCGTCCCATCTACATTGACTATGCTGCCGACCTCTACGAATTCAACAGTACCATCGAGTTCGAGGTCCTCTCTATGAGTGCCAAATGCCAAGAACGTTACTACAAGTACTCGCACCACGCCTATCCCGAAGTGACCTTCTACTTGCGCATGCGAAGACGCACCATCTTCTACACTTTCAACCTCATGATGCCATGTGTTGCCATCACAGCCCTCATGCTGCTCACCTTCTACCTGCCACCTGAGAGCAGGGAGAAAATCTCCCTCTCCATCAACGTCTTCATATCCCTCACCCTCTTCTTTCTCCTCATCTCGGAAACAATCCCACCTACCAGCCTGGCGGTACCATTACTCGGCAAATATCTACTCTTTACCATCATTCTCATCACCTCTTCCATCGTATCTACAGTCTTGGTTCTCAGCCTGCACTTTCGATCCGCTAAGACGCATGTCATCTCGACCTTCACAAAGACAGTCTTCTTGGAGTTTTTACCCAGACTGATGCGGCTCAATCCGCCAAGAAGTGGAGTCCATGGAAACAAGGTATGTTCGGACCGTCGGTGCTAAATCCTGTAGGATTTTACCTCATTGTGATCAAAATATAAGGTGATGGCATAAATCGAGGCCACAAAGAAGCAGCACAGCAGTTCTGAACTCTAAAAGAGGAAGAGAGAGGTCCGGTTTGATTCTCTTTCTTGGCAGCGGCCTTTAAGCTAAACCGAGATCGGTTTATCGCCGACTACAGATTGCATTCTGTTGAGCAGCATAGATGGGCTTCAGAAAGGTATGCTGCATCTGGGGACGAAAAACGTTGGTGCATACATCGATTTCCTCCAAATACACATCAGCTTGTATTATTCAAATACGAATTGCGCCAACTTTGTAATTACTACAATCCAGCAGGGCATGTGCTCACGCGTGTGCGGATCTTATGTCGATTTAGAGCAGAGCTGGATCAGAAGAAGGATAGGGAATGTATGTCAAGCCAGCAGCTGTTTCAGATCGGATTTAAAGGTTAACCGCGTTGGATGTAGTCGGAGGACTTGAGGCCCCTTTTCTTCAAAAATCAAGCACATATTGCATAGACTAGCACACATTGCTCATTTGCTTTGCTTTATTATTTCTGTAAACAGCACTGTGAGGCCACATCCGCACAGTCTAAACAAATACTACCAGTAATTTTAAAATTTTCTTCACCGTCGAGGTGTACAATCCCACAGGGATATCATTCATCCATTAAATGTTTGTCTAGGCACTATACTTCTTGTTTGATAGTCTGCGCAGCTCACCTAGCGATCGCCTTTAAGCCAGCCTACACCATGTGCGGCCACTTATTGCATATGATAGCGGAATTCCTGCCCTCCAGATCGACTTTCGACATTTCACCTTTTTGCATAAGATAGTGTTCTTACCCAAATTTAATAATCTTGTTTTTGCAGAGGCTTAAAGATACCGACCTTAACATGCTGGTAGGAACAATTTGTTGCTTTGGCAAAGCCACATTTTTTTCGAAGCATGTCTGGCGTTACTTAAAGGACACCGAAATATAAATAACCTATTCTTGGAGAATTCGGTGACGTGGAGACTTCTCATACCTTCACCAATTCGTATATAAATTCTCTTTCTGGAGAGATAAGTTACCAATTGAAGACCTTCAGTTGAAAATTCCTGGCGAAGGGCTATGAACAAAGCTCCTTGCTGATTTAATAGTGAAATAAGTATACGTCTTACGGCCGGCAACCGCAAGCCCCCTTTCCCTCTTCACCGGCAACCGGGTCTCTCCACTCTAGTGATCACAGAATTAATTAAATTTTCAAACCATTCGAAGTGGTCAGGGGTTGATCAAATAGAATGCATTCAGGCGTAAGTTAGCGCAGACAACCTGCTCTGGCAAGAGACTAAAACCTCGTCGGTAATACCTGAAGGCTTGATAACGAGAGTCCAGTTTGAGCTCTGAAACTGCCTTGCTTTGTCTGCTTTCTTCGTGTCTCCTTCCCTTATCTCTCGTCCAAATTCTTTTTTTATAAGCCATCTTCTCTTTCCGCTCTTCTTTTTTCATTTTACTCTCGTATCCCTTCCGTTTGTTCTCTAGTCCTTTTTTTTCTTCTCTTTTCTAAAAAGTGGATGACCAATCTTAAAAATGCAAAAACTCGCTATGCCGGTTTTAGTTTCAATTTTGTTTAAGTGCTCTTGATACACGAGACGCAGTATCTGATACCCTTCTTGATATCTACACTAGCCCAATAGAACTGGTTTGCGATGAATTGTGCCGTGTGAGAGCGATGGCGTTACTATTAGTCTCAGGCGATTGCTATTGTTTTGGTCGATAAGAATGGAAGCAACTTAGTGTACTTCGGAAGTAAAAATCAAGGTAACCTTTTAATCTTTTTTGTCAGGCCCGCTAATTTTGTTCATTTTTCACCGTGGAGGTTTTCTAACCTATCCTGGGCTACCAGCTGCTGACTACAGGTTTATTTCCCTGGGCAATAAGGCCAAACTTCCTATCTAGGACGCCTATGGGAAGCAAGTCAGTAATAATTCCATCGATCTCAGCTCTATGCATATTGCGTTCAACGACTTCTAAGAACAGCAATTTCCTAAAAATGGAAATTTGATAGGACAAAAAAGCATATTTTGTTTGACTGTGTGAAAGTTAACTATGTCATCACCGGACCCTGAATCGCAGTAAATAATAGTGCCTGTCAGCTCCCAATTACGGCTTCCAGATAACCACGAGTGGAACTTGCTTCTTCCGACTCCTTCAGCGCTTAAGGATGAACCTTGATATAAAGTGGAACAGGTTTGCTTCACTATATTACCATACATAATTTCAACAGTTTGACGGTCGTTTAAGACGAACTCCACAGCAGAGTGGGAACAGAGACAGTGATTTATGCGCCAATCCGCTTCTACTGATAGCTGAATTGCGCTGCATCAACCGCACTCCCTCCTCCCCTCCTACCTGGGCCGCGAGTTATGACAGTTATGAGGATCAGTGGCGGGAGAGGGCGCAACTGCCTGTCACGGCGAAAACCGCATCTTAGCGTACCACAACGACCCCTGGTCTATCGCGTACAACTGACTGGGATTGTACACATCAATAAAAGGGGAGGGCCGCTCGGATCCCAACTGAGTGGAAGTGCCAATAACGGTACATTAAGAAGGAGCCATTACAGTCTGACTCTCCGTTCTCCGAGGCTGACTGAGTTATCCCGTCAGTTTGAGCGCACCGTAATAGATTTAAGGACGTCTTGTCGTTTATAGTGAGGAAAGTTGGAGTTTTGATCACGGAAGCCGCAACCTCAGATTATTACTTCTTGTCGTCAATACCAACAGTTTATTTTGTCAGAGTTCATGTAGTCCACAAGTTATTCCATGGACCATTCATTCCTGCTTAATTACCTCAAGTAAATCCAGCCGAAATACTAAGTCGTAGACGCTGTTGTGAGCTAGTGCAAAGAGCATACTCACAGTATCTAACACTCGTTAAAAAGACGAGGTGGCGAGCATACGTAGCTTTCGATAAATTCTCGTCGGGCCAGTACAGTTTAAGGAGTTTAAGGAGTACTTTTATCGACTTCTCTTATCGCTTGCATGTTTTACTTCTACCCCGTTCCTATATAACTGTACTGGCCCGACGAGAATTTATCGAAAGCTACGTATGCTCGCCACCTCGTCTTCTGATTACTGCTATGGGAATTTTCGCAACTCGTTAAAACCTTGTACCGGAACGTTATGGCCAACGTAAACACGCAGCGATGAGTAAATGCATGCAATCGTTTCCAACCGTGCATTCAGGCTGAAGGAAGTTTTACTGGCTAAAGCTTTGCGATGTCCTTGTAAGAGCATGTTTTCTAATTTGCGTGAAAACGCACTCCATTTCCTGCCAAATCTTTAATAGTTTTTTCAACGTTAAATTGTGTCCTTAATCAACCTCAGCATCTCTCATCTTCTGGCCTCCAATTGGCAATTATGGTTTCATAGATGTGTTGACCCATCTGTGAAAAAGTCGGTGTCTCGGGGGAATTCGAACCCAGAACTGTGGGGGGAGGGCTTCTGTACCGCCAGCGCTCTAACCACCTGAGCTACGAGGTCCAGCCGGACGACGTGAGTTTACTCATATTTTGATCAAGTTTACCCGCCCAACCTACTGCAACGTGACCCAGATTCTGATTCTGACCTAAATTCATCCGGCGGGGCCTCGTAGCTCAGGTGGTTAGAGCGTTGACTGTACTAAATCTTTCACCTTACTGTCGTGAGTTCGAATCCCACTGAGTCGCCGAGTCTTTCACAGTTAGGTCAATATGACTTATAGTCTCATCAAGAACATGAATGCTAATTGGGATGATTTGTTTCGGTTAGTCAGTCATTGTAATAATTACGCTGGAAGCATTATACTCTCTTCGGCCAACAATGCTGCCTGCACTGTTGTACCCTCCGGTTGAACAGACTTCTCACTGATAAGTTATCAGTAGTGAATTCAGTTCCTTTATCACTAAGTCCATTTTGAAATTAAACAGACTTTAATCCATTTTAGTCGGATGCTCATAGGTCTAAGTCAACAGCGGCATTATGATAAGGAGTTCTTGATCGTGTCTCCAAAGGATGATGATCTGATTTATCATATTCACAGGACAAAACAAGGAGCAAGGCACATTATGAAGACGAACTGCCCATGGAGATGCATCAGCATACGAGGAAGCAGGCGGGTCTTTCAAACCACAACACATGGACACTGCGACCGCGTCCACCAAAACCACCATCACCACAAGAGACGATTTGTCCGACACGACTCTCGCTGAGTAACCGTAGTTTGCAACGTCGGCCTTCCCTCACGTCAGCAGTGGCACCAGCAACAGGACAACCAAACCGCCTGTCAGGTGGAAAGCGTCCTGAAGATGACTCTAGTGTCTACCTAGACCCTTTGGTAGCAGCCATCAGTCAGAGTTTGGAGAGGGAGGAACCATGTGTCCAGGCGCGGATTAGTCGAAAGTTGCGCCAAGTCATGCATGGCACGGACTACATAGCTCAGCGGTTCCAGGACGTCAAAATGGACAACGATGTAAGTGTCTGTTGCACAAGACAAAGAACTCGGGTGCATTTCTACTGCGGAGAGTTTCTCCTGCGGTCGAATAGTTGAGGGTGACATCCGTACTAATCTTCGGCCTACTTTCAATATTTCATTCTATTAGCCATATCATTTTCACTCTTGGATCGAGTCTCGTCTGCCATAAATATACAGTGGTCGTATGGCCCCGATAATGCGACCCTCAGACGAACATTTTCCTGAGTTAGCGAAGGAGCCGGGATTGCCGTTTCGACTACATTTTATTATATGGAATGTTGACTGAATTTAACTTGCAGGCATATTGATATAAAGGTGTTGAAATAGCATAAAATAGGCATTTAGTAGTTGACAGCCGATTTCGCCGAGTAGCACTGGTCGATGCGCATACGTATGTGCTGAACTAGTACAACGTTATAGACCACTATGACGTCACCCATTTCTCCGGAGAATACTGCTGGCACATTGTGGCGGTCAAGGATGTTAGATCAACTTAAACCACGCACAATAAGTTCGTTTCGTCTACTGTCAGAAGTCAGGGAGCTGTGAGGACTAGTTTATTCTGTACACAGGGCAGGTTGCCGTAAGTTGGCGGTTGGCTTGCAACAGAGAAAAGCGTCCGCTCACGGAGAGGCGTCAGTCGCGGTGTCTTTACGCGGGCGTGTGTGTCTGGGTCAGCAGGAAGGGGGGGGGGGAATGACTGTCTGAGTGGTAGTCGTGTGATTGGACAAATCAGGGGAGGAATGGAGGGCGCATACCCACAAGGCCTCACGGGAATCAAGCCAAAGCGTTCGACTCGCGTTAGGTGATACTAGTTTGTGAGTGCAGCCGGGGGTCACTGCAGCTGGACAGGAGGTGCCCCAGTTCTAGCCGGCGGGGGTGGTCGTGTGTCAGCGGCCTGTCAGTGCTTGTCGCGGCCATCGACCGACAAAACGAGCCGGAGAAAAGGGGGACTGGAGCGTCTGCTACAACCCCCCCCCCTCAGACACCAAACGAAGTGAAGGCGTCGACATGCTAGCCAGCCACAAACCTGTCTGGCCAGTGGACGTGACGGCCAGATCGGGCGTGGCGAACCGGAGGGGGACTGTCGCCAGTAGGTGGAGGCAGCACTGTTTGCGGCGAAGTACAGTGTTGGTGTGGGGAAAGGTCACTGTCGTCGATGTAGGCTGGCTTGACGCGATCAATGCAGACTGTGTCGGTCTTGCCGTTGCGGTCGATGACATCTTTGTCAGATTGACGAAGGACTTTATACGGCCCGTCGTAGGGTGGTTGGAGTGGTCGTCGGACAGCGCCATGCCGACCCAAGACGAAATCGCACTTATCCAGGTCGGGAGGGATGAAGGAATTGGCCGGTGACGCCCGAGGGGGCGTTGCGCGGAGATTGCGCATGACACTACGCAGCTGCTCCACATAACTGCAAGACTCGAAAAACGTTAGCATGTTTGAGGGAGACGCTAACTCACCGGGCAGTCGTAGGGAGGTTCCGTAGACAAGATCAGCCGCAGTGCAACCGATGTCGGCCTTGAGAGTGGAACGGAGGGACAACAGCACCAGGGGAAGGTGATCAGACCATCGGGAAGGATCGGGCTGAGCCATAAAGGAAGTCTTGAGCTGTCGATGGAAGCGTTCGACGAGACCATTTGCTTGAGGGTGGTACGCTGTTGTTCGGATTCGGTTGGTACCGAGAAGGCATGTGAGTTCGCGAAACAGCTTGGACTCGAATTTGGATCCGCGGTCAGTGGTGACAGTCGCAGGAACTCCAAAATTGGACACCCAATGAGTCAAGAAAGCTTTCGCAACGGTTTCAGCACTGATGTCCGGAATGGGCGCAGCAACCGGCAACCGAGGAAAGCGATCAATGCATGTCAGCATATAGGTAGAACCGTTAGATGGTGGCAGCGGACCTACCAGGTCAATATGCACATGACTAAAGCGTGCATCAGGAGTTGCGAAAGTACCTGGTGGAGTAATAGTATGCCGATGCGTTTTGGCTCGCTGACATGACAGACAGGATCGGGTCCAACGCCGTACATCCCGGTTGATGTTGGGCCAGACGAATCGGTCAGTGATGAGTTTCACTGTCGCCCGGACTCCAGGGTGGGATAGATTGTGAAGGGCGTTGAACACTTGTCGTCGTAAAGTTGCAGGGACAAAGGGACGTTCATGTCCGGTAGAAAGATCACACGTTATGGTGCCAGTGCCAGTGGGAAGGAGGACATCTTGAAGGCGTAAAGAAGAGTCCTCGTGGCGGTATTGGGAGGGCTCGTCATCCGATCGCTGAGCCTTAGCCATGAGTGTGAAGTCTATGGCGTCAGTTGTGATGGAAGCCATCTCGATTCTTGAAAGAGCATCAGCAACCACATTTTCCTTACCATGGACATGTTGGATGTCGCAGGAAAACTGTGAGATGAAATCTAGATGACGAATTTCACGGGGCGAGTATCGATCGGGAGAGGCCCTCAGTGCAAAAACGAGTGGCTTGTGATCTGTTAGAACAGCAAATTCACGACCCTCGAGGAAATGGCGAAAGTGCCGAATGGATAGTTAGACGGCGGGGGTGGTCGTGTGACAGCAGCCTGTCAGTGCTTGTCGCGGCCATCGACCGACAAAACGGAGCCGGAGAAAAGGGGGACTGGAGCGGCTGCTACACATGTTCTCGTCCTAAAAAATGTACCGACTAGAGGTGGATGGAACCACCGTCCACCCAATCCATAAGGCGCGATCAAGGACTGAGATTTAAACGGGTGAATCAGTTAATCCCAGTCTCCCAAAGACAAATTATGGGCGGTAGTTTTGCTGGCCGATTTTTTTTACAGAATCATCTGCACGAGAAACGTAGCCCGCCATCTGTTGTGCAGTCATTTACAGAATGAGTGATTGGTCGAGTTAAGAACAAAAGACGAACGGCCGCTTTGACTCAACAGGGGCCCCGTTCACCCCAGTTTTGTCCGGCCCTTTGAAGGAGCTCATGCGCTGGCACTCAAGTACACTTATCGGCAGATTTCACTCTTCTACCGACATGTAGAGTGAAATCCTAGTTTAATCAAAACTTTTAAAATAAGAAGACAAACATCAGGAGTAACCTGCCACTTGTTGTATCCGTTAGGTCTAGAGCAGACATTTTGCAGATTCCCTGTCGTCCGACAGAGAAAAACTAATCCTTTCCCATCCGCTCTTCTTTAAACCCAGGTCAAGGAAGATTGGCAATTTGTTGCTGTCGTAGTCGACCGACTTTGTCTTTGGATTTTCACACTCGTCTGTATTATTGGTACGTTCTCATAATTCAGTCAGTTTACAAACACACCATAGTAAATTATTTCATTATCGCCGGACATAAATTTTGCATGCGACGTCAGCACGCGATCCTCGACGGCCGTCACTAATGCGGGTGATTGAATATGCTTAAAAGCGTACACGGCCAAGGTAAATTTATAAAGCTTACCGGTTTGGACAGTCGGCTCCTCCCACCCAGCCAGCACATGTCTCCGCCCTAAGAGCTAGGCCGAATCCGCCCCCCCCCCCCCCTAAATACTGCGTGGTCAACAACTAGGTGGCCCAGTCCATCCCAGTCGCCGAAAGACAAAGTACGGGAACTGGTTTCACCGTATGATTGTTTATGCAAGGTTATCTGCGCCAAAAAAGCATATTGACTTCATCTGCAATGCAAAACCACATGGTATGATTAATCGGTTCTGCTAAAAAAAAAACTAACGATGGTTTGGACTGGACCATGCTCCCGTCCATCCAAGTCCAGTGGTAGCAATTAAGTACCTCCATCGGCAAACTTTACTCTACGATTGGTTAATATGGTTCAGTCCTATAAAAATATCTTACTTCTAGTTTAATCAAGGATTTAAAAATTAAGCCGATTGATCGAATTTTTGGATTTTTACACGCGTCTGTATTATTGGTACGCCAGTTTACAAACAAACTGAACTAAGTTGTTTAATGAACGTGGGAAATTAACTTCGTTTCTACGATTTAAAATTGCGAGTAAATGAATATGCTTCAAAGCATAGGGAGCCATGGCACTCCGTTTCGCCTACCTGTACACAAAGTTCTTAACGCAATATTCCATTTTCTCGTTTATTTTAGCTGTGCTTTCGATTATTTTCCAAGCTCCGGGCATGATGAGCTCCCAACCACCTATTGATCCATCAAGGCTACCGAATTCTACGAACCTTACGTCTTTTGTCGACGTTGATATGCGCATACCCAGGGAGACTGTAAAAATTGTATTTATAAACTAAGTCAACATACCGCCATAAGCTCTCTGTTATTTAACGACGTAAAACACCTCTGCCCACTTCTACTTGGTCTTGGAATTTACGCTTTGTTTGCTGACGCAGAAAGCGCCTATCATCTACGTGCATATCTTGTTTTTAATCTGTCGCCCGGCTCATCACAGTTGCTGATGTTGGATTGAATTTCATCTAGTCGTTTGCCATTTCTGATAGAGTCGCGTAAATCAGGAGTCCGGGAATTCATTTTGACCGCATGCGTGTTCGTACATGGTTGTGAATAAAAAGCCTTTATTAGGAGTCCAGGTTGTATCATGATTTTAAGAATTCTTCCCAGCAGGGTTATCTGCGCTAGTCTGCATTTTAACTGTCCCGGTTGTCTAATTAACCGACAGAATTTGATCATGAGTAAACTTTATACTAGGTGAAATTTCTGAAATATGTAAGTTGAGGAGGAGGAGGAGTCATAGCTACTGTCATCAGGATCATCTGAGAAAAATTTCCATTGGACTTTAATGATCGTGCATCACCAGAGTAATTAAATGATCGTCTTCTACCGGCCATTTCTGAAGTATAGAAATGTGATAAAGGGGCATCTTCTAGCTCTACGTTTGCTATTTTGAGTTGGTCTGTATGCATGAGTGATTCGTGGACGGTTGCCGAACGAAGACGTGCAACGAAATAATTTTTAATCAGCCCTTAGATGTCTAACACACCAATGCCACACGAATTAATTGTAAGTTGTCGTTGATGCCCTCTGTCTTCATCTGCTAGCAACTTTAGCAGTGGTAACTTGTAGAAAATAAAAGCAGCATTTAAAGGATTATCAGAATTTACTTCCTGAAGCAGGATTTGAAAGAAAATGCTACAACGAACTGTAATCAGTGTTAGGAGACCCCAAGAGGTGCCTTTATTCTTGGTTATCCATCTTCATATACAGTAGATGTGCTAACTCATGAAATGTTAACCAAAATTTCGAAATGCGTTCTCGTTTCGAAAAGATAAATTAAGTAGTGTTGTCAAACTAATCATGATGCAGCATAAATCCTTAATGATCCAGTTACCTCAGGGTGTCGGCTTTCGAAAGAAATTATTTTCGGCTGCATGCAAGATCTATACTCTGCAAAAAATGACTACTTAAATAGTATGCAATTTTCTCATTGATTTTCAATGCCCTTGAAAATTCAATTATATTTAATAGAAAACATGCATAAAATATTCATTCTTTTACTTATTCAGTAGAAAATCACGTCTTCTTCCAATTGCATACTCAAAAGAAGAGTATAATTCGGTTTTAAAAACTTTTCTAATTGTGAAATTTTTTAATACCGTTAAATGGCCGTTCATGAAACGTCATGCATCTGCATTTACGAATATGGCCTGTAAAGTTAACAATATTGCTCAAATCCACTGCTTAATTTTATGAACCTCATATGATTTCCTCTTAACACCGTAGAGAAATGCATGGTTTTCCGTACACGGAAAATATACAGCTTGTAATTTTGAAACCCTGAATGCAAGTGTAACAGCAGGTCGGGTTCAAAATTATTCAGGAATTAGAAAAGTTTTTAAAACCGAATTATACTCTTCTTTTGAGTATGCAATTGGAAGAAGACGTGATTTTCTACTGAATAAGTAAAAGAATGAATATTTTATGCATGTTTTCTATTAAATATAATTGAATTTTCAAGGGCATCGAAAATCAATGAGAAAATTGCATACTATTTAAGTAGTCATTTTTTGCAGAGTTTAGATCTTGCATGCAGCCGAAAATAATTTCTTTCGAAAGCCGACACCCTGAGGTAACTGGATCATTAAGGATTTATGCTGCATCATGATTATTTTGACAACACTACTTAATTTATCTTTTCGAAACGAGAACGCATTTCGAAATTTTGGTTGACATTTCATGTGTATGCACATCTACTGTACTTCTTACCCCGCAAGTCACACTATTTGCTCTGTGAGCCAACGTCTTCGCATACCCACTTTAATAAGTGCACATTTCGTAAATTTACCATGCATGCACACTGCTATGATAAACATTCATGGGATATTCTCTCTTCTTCGCGCATAGAACAGGAACTTGACGATTTATATTTAGACCTATTACTGGAAACTAAACGCGTTCATTCCTGCTTGACTATCTGATTTCAGAATCTTGTAAACTGCCCTTATTATGTTGAAAACTTGTACGAGGATTTTGTCTGTCAATTTTCAGCGAAATGCGTTCGTCCGACTACTTTCCGCCTTCGTTAGAACTGCGACAATATTTACTAGGCCTCGTTACTAAAGTCAAGGTCATTTGAAAATACTCCCTCTCGGCTCCGTATCACCAGAGTGGTAATATGATCATCTTCTGCCGGCTTACCCAGAATCCCCCGACGATTTTCTGTCTGAAGTGCTGTTAGTGGTCGGCTGATTATGTAGCATAGATAACGATAGGGCCTTTTAATACTGTACCGGCAAAACTACTGATAGAACCGAATGCACGAATAAGCGCGACAGGCTTGAACAATTGCATATTATGGGTGGGCAGTAGTGCTCCACTCACTCGAGCGGTCAGAAGTGCGCAATTAACGAGGCTGCAGAATGCTGCTTAAGCGCTCAAAACACCGACAAGTTTAACTAGCTAGGATTTACCCTTCTGGTTGTACCTGCAAGGCAGAGAAAAAAGCATGTACGTACGAAGCTTGATGTAACACACCAGAAATAAAAAATTATTTAAAATAAGGTAGAAAGTTAACAACCGGACCCACAGCTAAAAACATAACTGAAGCATAATTCATGGTATTCTTGTCCTACTACGCATGGCACGTCGACGAGTGCTAAGACAAGAATAGTTTGTTCTTTTGGTTTACAAATACCAGTTGTTCAAATAAAGACAGTATGGCTATTTTAGAGACCACTGTAATTCGTTTTTATTTTTAAATTAAGGTTGAAAGATCATTTCACAATACAGAGAGAAATATGACACCACAGTAAATAACCGACGAAACCAAACAATGAGATTTCTTTTGAAGTATGACTTAGAAACCTGGGAACACGAAGCATAACAAGTCCGCTGACGTAGTACCTTTGTCATCTGAT